GACTCTAAATGCTCCAAGCACAACAATAGCAACGTTAACGGGGAAGTTACACTTCACATCAGGCTCATTTTCCAAAATTTAACACCCCAGAAATGCAGCCGTTGGCAGAACACATGCAAATCTTGAGACATTACCTGTGAGGTAAAAGACCTCCAGCATGGCCTTAATGCTTTTTATCTTCCACTCTAAAACAGCCCGAGCACTGGGCTGTGCCAGATCCGACACGACTCCTTCTTTCCCAAGTTGCTACAAAAGCAGAAGAGAAGAGAGGTCAGAAATCGCTGACACGAACATGTCACCTGCAGGGAACCCAGTCAGGCTACAGAGAAATAATAACGCGGCTCTGAGAAAAGCGAGATGGCGTTTCAAGCAGTAGAGGGGAGAAATGAAGCAGAAGCTGGGAGAAAAACTCAAGAAAAGAATTCAGAAATGGCCACACGACCTCCAAGCAAGTAGACCCAGCAGTTCTGGACCACACGGTACTGAAAACAGGGGACACCGGGACTACATGTCACTTAAAAAGGGAAAATAAAAAAATAATAGTTGACTCTATATGAATAATCTCAGTAAATCCACCCTCTGAGAGCATGAGCACACCACAGCCCTCTGCCAGATGTCTGCAGCAAGCCCTTTCTCACCCCCTTTTGCTGCAGGTCCACTTTAGCCCGCAGCTCATCCCTCTGGAGTCTCAGCTCCTGCACTCTTGCTTTCAGCCTGGCCAGCTTCTCTTCTTGCTGCTCTGTTTCCTCTTGCTTCACGGCTGCCTCATAAGCCCGCGCCTCCAGCATTTCCAGGTGAGCAAACACCCCTGCAAGGAAAAGCACGACACACTCAAAAATCCAGGCTGTGATTATTAGTCGGTCCAGGGCAGATACATAAAGAAACCACTTACAAGAGCTTTTCAAAGGGACAGAGGACAGGCAAACACCTGGCGAAGAGGCTTTCGGGAATTTTACACAGCGAGGCTGAGTGCCAGCAGACCCTAACACTGGAGTGCCCCACACCAGCTAGCTAAGCTCCTGAAAAGCAGAGTAAGCTAGCAAACGCACCAGTCCCGATCCCAAGAGATGTGCAATTCCCAGTTTTACTTCTAACCCAGTACACAGAGCAGTGAAGTGACTACTCTGAAGCCCCGGAATATCAGCCTAAGAGTGACTCAAGACACAACTCAGCAAGCCAGGGGGTCACTTCTGGCCCCAAGCATTTTAGGGTTCACTCCTGCAGGAGGACACACTTTGCACACTCGGATGTCCTGCGCCCCAGACAGCTCACCATCTGGTGAATACGCTTTCCCTTCCTCCATCTTCCCTCGCCACTCTCCCGCAAGCAAGAAGGCAGGCGTCAGCCCTCCCCGGCCAGGCTCCGTCCCTTGGGATGCGGTGACGTGGGGGCAGCGAGAGCTCTTCCTCAGGGGACCTTCCTCTTCCTCCTCCTGCTGCAACGGGACTCCGAGAAGAGTCGAGGGCAGGTCTAGCACCCGGGCCGGCCCCACGCAGGAACAATCCCATGGGCCGGTGGCTGAAACGACACGTTATAACCCACCATTTTCTATAAGCCACCATTTCACACCAGCTCCGCAAGGAAACCCCCCGGGAGTGCAGGCACGGACACGATTCACCGG